AGAGTTTAAAGTTGGCAAATTTTCAAGATGGCGGAATCTACGTTTTTCAGGGCTTTTCGTAAAATATCAATATCTCAGCAACGATACAACTTTTTGATTTGCGCCCTTTACCAAAATTCATTAAAATGTTCGGTCTACAAAAGCCCCCTACTTTGGAAAAGTTTCGAGAATATCGATTGAAGAACGTCGGTCGTGACTTACGTGCAATGGCTCTTGAATGCTAAAACTTCTATGAACAAGATTGATTATTCAAGTATAAGCATAGAGAGTTGTAGGCATTTAGAGAGCACATAAAATACATCTCATATTTTCCAGATATGTAAATCTGGTATTTTATTTTGCGCTATTCTTTTTTATTGCGCTCGATGATGCAGCCAGGTAATATAGTTGTTTTTTTCCTACAAAACACAAATATTTTTTATTGTCACTTGACGTTTAAAAAAAACTTAGCTAAAAATTACATACAAAAAAACAAACACTAAGCCTAAATTGATCAACTATTAAAGATGTTAGATTTTGTAATGTCAAAAAAATCTTTAGTCTATACTGTTCGGTTTCTTAGAGTGGGTATACAGGAGACGACTAGCAATTTTCATTCTAAGTAAAAAAACTAGAAATATATATAAAAACGCTTTTTTTCTGCTTAGGATGGAATTGAGACTTAGAATCTCGTAAGAGACATACCCAGGTCGACCAAAATGGATATCCGTTACGGACCGTCTACTGGTCGCAGGAATATGGACCGTAACATCATTAAAATAGGGCCGTATACGGCCGTATTTTCACAGTATACGACCCCGTATTACTGTGCCCAGAAACGGTACCGTTTACGGCCCTATTTTAATGATGTTACGGTCCATATTCCTGCGTCCAGTAGACCGTCCGTATATAGACCGTATCGTTCGACCTGGGTAGATAAAATAAATAACCGTTATCTCCTCTTTTCGTCTGAAGTAAGCGATCCATCTAATGGTAATTCATCTAAATTACTCAAAACTTCGGTTATACTTAAACGTCGCAGTGATTTAGGTGGCGCTACTGTTGTTTGTTGTTCATTGACTAAATTATTTTTAGTCGTACTTGTTAGATGTTCACTTAACCAACTGAACAGTGCATTCGCTGTTTTATTATCAATTTGAAGTTGTTCTTGACTACTCTTTGGCGTATTCGGTAAAAGTCGTGCTAATAATTCCTCGCATAGTTTGTATAATAATTTTGATTCAACAGCATTTGAAATGTTGTTTAGTACTTCATTATCTACTAATTTAGAACTTTTATCATCACCAATTAATTCTACATTTGTTCGGTGTAAATTGTTCATAATAGATGTTAGAGAATGCAAATACAATGTTTGATTCACGTCTACTGTTGTCGCTGAAGTACTAATATTGTCCGTGCTATTTGAAAACAATGAGTAATCGGGGAAATCTGACACAGTGCTATTTTCGAAAAAAGAGTCATTCGTTGGTAATGGTGTGCTTATTGAAGAAAAATCGAATGAATCAGGCATTAAACTAGAAACAGATTCAATGCTAGCGTGATTCAGTGAAGTTAAATCTGGTTGTGACATAGTGGTTGTTATTAATTCATTTATACTGTTTTCAGATTCAGTCGAATAATTATCTGAGATAATTGGTGTTGCTGTCTCTTTACGATGATGTCTTTTAAAACTGAAATATTGTAACCATGCTGGATCAGTACTTGTTTCACTTTTTTCATTAGTCGATGAAGACGTTAAGTCAAATAATAATGGTACGTACATATTAGGATTTAAGAAATCAATAGTAGTAGAGGGTGTTGTAATCGTTGTAGTGAGCTCGTTTTGAGTCGTTGTTGGCCTGTTTGTAAGTGAAAATAAGCTAGCGTTTGAATCGTGATCGCTTGCTGATATTGTACTAGAGTTGACAGCGTTGTTTTCTTGAGTAGATGTTGTCATTGTAACATCAATGGTAACGGTGTTCAAATCGGTCATGCTACTCGTTTCAGATGTTAAATTATCATTGGAATGTGTCGTTGAATGTTTACCACTATCGTTTCCAACATCCATGGTGTATCTCGATAAACTTATTGTACTTTCTAATAGTCTATCTGCTGTTGTCGACGGAATCAGTGATGATACATCATTGACTATTGTAGAAGAATTGTTATCTGTTACATTCGTATTGGATGATTCGTTGAATGATGACTCGGATGTCAATTGATCAGAACTGATTGTAGACGATTGTTGACTGTATGACGTCTGCTTTGGAAAAATAGCATCCAACTGAATATCACTAGCTGGAATAATGACAGGATTTGTGCGAAATCTTTTTGGTGGTGGAGGAAATGTGGTCACTGAATTTTCATCTGAATCAATGCTTATTCTTTGATTTTCTCTATTAATCGTCGTCGAATACTTTGGAAGATCATTTAAAAACATTGTTGTTGATGTTGAAAGATCATTCGATTCTGATCTTGATCTAGAATCGCGTGTGTTTTCATTTCTTATCAATGGATTAGTCGTTGTCATTTGAATATGTTCTGTTGATAATACACTGCCAAAGTTAATTTCATTCGATGATTTTCTTTGAGGTTTGTTAGAATGATAGGCTTTTTGCAGCATATCGAACAAAACTTTTGTATGTACCGGTATTAGAGCTATAAAATACAATATCATTATTATAAGATATAACGATACCATCGTTTCAAAATATTAAAGCTGATGAAAATGATGAATGAAATATAGAAATGTATAATTAGTACGCTACGACATGTGTTTGTATAGAGCAAACAAAATGAGTCTGTACCGTCACAAATAAAACACAAAATAATGTTTACTTACAAGACCATAGTGCCCTATCTTGTTTCAAACGTTCTTGACAATTTTCTCCAATATAATCGAAATAACATCGACATTCGTATGACTGATGAGTTTCAACACAAAGTCCACGATTTCCACAAGGATTTCGAAAACAAATTCCTAAATATTAATTTTTGTACTCATAATGACACTATGTCATGCTGAAATCTCACCGAGTGGTTTCTCGCAGTTTGGTCCACTAAAATTTGCTTGACAAATACAAATGTAGGAGAAGGAAGAGCCATAACAGAGACCTGCATTGCGACATGGCTGAGACCAGCATAAATTGCCTAATTAAAATAAACATTTTTCTTCGATAAATATTCTAAAGAAGTTAATGATACCAACAACGAATTGTTGATTTATAACAAGAATTCATATGGTTGTTACAAAAAAATTAATTACTAAGCTAATTTGTATGAATCCTGTATGTGACACAACAGAGTACGTATGATCTTAAAAATGTTCAGTATGTTGATGAAAAAGACTGAACTTAATCTTTTTAAAAATTTCTAACTGTCACAAACAAAAAATATGCCCAATTTTGAGAGTTCTAGCTCGAATTCATCACATACCTGTTGTTGTTGCAATTGAATAAGTTTTAGATAAATTAAGAATTAGAATTAATAGAATAGACAAAACAAATTTGAATAATAGTGTTAATTGTTTTAAAACAAAGTACATTTCATATAAAAACAAGAAAAAAGTTGTTGTTACATTTATGTTAACACCCTTTATTTTTGAAAAAAATTGAATAATTTATTTATTTCAGATGTGTTATAAAAAGGATGTGGTGGATGTGTGCGTATTTAGAAAGTGAATACGTGACATCCGTCAGTCGGCTTATAGTTAGAATTATTAACACAATTGTTCAGTTTTCTTCTCTTTTATTCTTTTGTGTTCAAAAATGATCAAGTAACTCACACGCCCAACCATACATACACACACAATTGTAGGAGGTCAACTATCATGTCACTAAATAAATAATTTATGAATTGTAAGTATTCAATACAAATAAAAAATAACAATAGGGCCTTCTTTATTTTTGATGAGAAAAGTTTACATAGAGATTTATGTTAGGAAATATTACAACGTCGATATTTGATCACAACAAAAAACAATCTCAGTCTGTAATGAGTTGAAATATATAAGAAACAAAAAGAAAAACATCAGATATTCGACGACACAAGAAATTACCTATTATTTTTGAAAAACAAAGAAATCAATCTGTTTAAAACAAATGTTCGACGTAATAAAAGTTCTCACCGAACATCTATAAGATCGAACCGATGCATAGCAATAAATTTCATCGAAGTCTTTTGAAATTAAAATGATTGATATTTTAGAAAAATGAAGCATAAAAATCTTACAAAGAGAGTCGGCTATGTTTAAAGAAAATTGATAATATATTAAACTTATTAACAGATGCAACTGCCCATGAATCATATTATACTCTTTTATAAGTAAATACCTTCGTATTCTAGTATAAAAATCAAGTATTCGAATTTATAATCAGTCATATTTCATTTCATAAATTTCACGCGATTTTATTATTAATTATTTCACTGTTTCTTTTTTCTGGTCTTTTGTAATCACATTCAGATATATATTCCATACCATCTCCAACTAGTTTACAACATTCTACTAATTGAAAGTAATGTTTTGTTGCGTCATACAATTAGAGTACTTTACAGTAATAAACACTTCAAAGAAGTAAGCTTACCATTTGTGCCCAAGTTTTTTAGTACTTACTTTTCAAAGCCAAAACCGCACTTATAATAATTAGTTTTTCAATTAAAAGCGTTTTTATTTGCCAAGAACAACAAAAAAAACATATGATTAGTCAGTACACCAAGAAAAAATATATGCACAAATAATTACAGAAGAAAGTAGAAAAACAAGTCTTTTCGTTTCTCTTTTAAGCAACATTGTTTTCATAAAATATAACAAATAATCGCATTAGGCTAAGTAATTAAAACGAAAACATGTTAGGTAGTAGCCAGTACCAATGTGGAAACTAATAAGACAAAATAAGAAAAACTTTGAGCGAATTAGACGACTAGCGTCAGATACAAGTTTAAGAAACGTGAAAAAACCTTATTGTTGAGTATCTGAAATAATTGAATCGATATAACACAAATAAAAAGTTTTTATTGACAAATATTAATTCCATGTTTCATCATTATTGCTCCTACTCTAAAAATAGAAGTAAAATAATGCATTACATTATTTAATCGTACTATAAGCAGAGGAATATACGTTGTAAACTGCATTCTTTGAAGAGAATGAAGCAAGCACCGTAATAAATATATGGAAAACAAAAGATCGTTGTCAGCAGTGCAATAGCTGAAGGGTTTTTTCAGAAAGTGAATAAAGATCTCGCACAACAAAGCGTGTAGATTTTATTTTTCAACATACTTTTTTGAGATATTTTTATTTCTTCTGTCACATCTACTGTTGGTTGTTTATTTTCACTTATTGTTGTCGGTTTATCAAACTGATGTAAATTTCTTCGCCATGTTCGTACTACACCATCGAAACCACGACGAGAACATTTTTTATATTTATTATAGAATATAAAATATTCAGCTAATATCTTCGTAGAACGTTCCAAAACTGCAATAACTGGTGTGACGGATATGAACTATCTTAAAATCCTCTAGACAGGAAATAAAGCCTTCTTTGTATGTAGAACGACTAGACTTCTCAAGTAAACCCACAGGTCATTGTTGGTAAGGTAGAATACATTTCGAAGCAGGGCTTCCGGATAAAATTTTATCTTTTTGGCTCTTTAAACTTTCACTTCGCTTCGTACGAAGGAGTTTTTGAAATAAGAACAGAAATTCACATAAAAATGATTTTACTTGATTGGATATTGTTCCATATAGGACGCGTATGATTCAGATAATTTTCCTTTGAGAATTTCTTTTGTACGATTACGTAATGTATGAGGATCACTTTCCACTTGGGCCATTATTTCTTCTTCTGCCATTTCAGAATATTTAGCAAACGTTTTCAAATAGCGAATGTAACTAAAAGACAAAACATTATAATATTGAAGAAATTCTATTGAGCTGTAGCATGATCGTCAACAAATAAATGATCCATCTGTGTCATAATGTATCTCCTTTCTACTTGGTTTTGAAGTAATCATATGCTATATGTACTATAGAAAAGTTTAAAGTATGCAAGTTCTCGCTACAGACAATTCTATAAAATAGACTCATTACACTCACTTGAATAAATATTCCAATTCAAGTTCTTCTATTTCGGCGACTATTTTGGGATCGTCCGATAAATATCGTAGTGCTGCACGTGATATGTGTCCTTGTCCATTTTTCTTACCCCTACATAAAAAACCAGAACATCGATGATCAAGTACGTTTTAGAAATAATGTGTTTGCTACCTTGTTTCGCTCATATCAGATTTCACTCTTGTTATTGGTCGTCGAACATTCAATGATGCACTGATACATTTTCTAATTACACGATTATTTTTCTCATTTTTGTTCGTGTCTGTTGTTGATTTAAAATCTTTATTTGAATTTTCGTGCAAAGATGTTTTGAGAATACTATCGACATGTACACTAAGTTCATATAAGGAATCCTGCTGTGCTGTTGATGCAGGTGTTGGTTCAAATCTAAAACGAGGAAAGTAATAGTACACCTATTATGAACACCAGAAAAAATTAACTCACTCAAATGAAGTCCAAGCAATTGTTGTTGATGGAATATGCATTCTTGATCCTTCAGTTGTTGAGAGCATATTTTCTATGCTTTCTGTTTTATCAGCATCGTTAGTCATATCACCAGAATCGATAACTCTTTTCGTTGTCACTGTGCTGATTGCAGGACCATTTTGTATTGCCTTTTCTTCACTTCCTTCGAATATTGGCATTAGTTTCGGTTCTCCAATTGTGGATATATCCATTTCAATGCCACTTAGTTTTCTAACCAGACTTGTCGATTGTTGTTTTGGTGGTGAAAAGGTAGCACCAATTTTTAGACCACTAAAAGTAACAAACTTGACGAGCCCATGCATAGTAAATGTACGTTTACTCACTCAGGCTTTTTTTTGGAAGCAAATGATTGAAATTTATTATTATAAGCTGACATTTGTGTAAAATCAGCTGATGCAGATCTTGCTGCAAGATTTCGTTGGGAACTGGAAACAACACGTGAAGGTGAGCTGAAAAATAACAACATAAAGTGTTATGAGAACATTGAGAATTTTCAATAATACCGTGGTCTATTGAGAAAACCATTTTTGTTATAAATTTGTGAGATATGTTCGACAAGTTTAATTTGTTGATCCTAAACAAAAATTAATGGACAAATTGAAATCTAGACAGGGCCGGCGCGAGCAAAATTATGATACCGGGCGAAAATTTATTTTTGCGCCCCCACCCCTTCTGTCTTTAACTGTTGAAATGCGCCTGATCAATATTAGAAAACCAAGGCGCCTCCGGCGCCCCTTACTTTGTAGCGACCCGGGCGGTCGCCCGCTCCTCCCGCCGGCCATGAATCAGAAAATCTTAACTTACTCGTGCTGCTTTTGCTACCCATAAATCAGTAGCAAATAACGTCTTTTGAACTTGAGCATCAAGTGAATAATCAGAGCATAATAGCATAAGCTCTTTTATAGTGTAGAGCACCATTTTCTAAGAAAAGACAAAGCACTTTATAAATACGGATCCACAAGAAGCACTATACCATGTTGCAACATAAAAATAAACATTTTTCATCGCGAAAGAGAGAGGCGAAGAAATTACTGAAAAAGTATTGTGCCAGTCAAAAGCGTCGTTTTCGATACTACTTCTGTTTTTTTCTCGCGACAGATCTACGTTTTCTTTGCTGGTTCTTGTTACTAATTCAAAATAAATAAGTAAATGATTAGCATTATTCATCATACTTGAATGCTTTACTTCTTAAAAGAGATCTTTGAACTCAAGCATGCTGTAGCATAAAAATAGGAACAATAACAACTTGGAAGAATATAGTCGGCTACTATAGAATTTGGCGCAAATTAATAATATTGCATAAAATTGTATTACTTCGTTCTGTGTGTATGTGTGCTAGAATTGCCGATGTATAAGAGAGAAAGAAAGGTGCTACTCAAAACAAACAAAGAGCAAGCCATGTTAGAAAAAAGAAAGATGTCGCCGCAGTTCCTCAGTAAGTATGGATTACGTTTAATGGTGTTCAGTAAAACGTGCCTTAAAATTTATAAAATAAAGGAATATCTCTTGTTTTGTTTATGGATACGTGGCAGTCACCGAATTGAGGGGAGGAGTCAAAGTTCTATTTGTTGTATTCTGCATTCCAATCTAACCAATAAGAAGGCTGTATACTACGACACTAAGGCGTACAAATACGAGATAATAACATAAGATAACGCTCATCTATTACTCTGATCCTTTGGTTTTAGCGTGAAAGCGAAAAGAAAACTGTTATTCAAGTCATCTCTTTTTTATCGCGGCTGAAGGCACACGAGTTAATCATTGTAATCATAATGAGGATCAGAAAAAATTTAAACGTATAGAAATCAAAATTAGCGAATTTCGGTTTTAGCTGTCGTTAAAAACTGATATCATTCATTTAAATGGTCGCTCGTAAAGCCGATGTATAGTCATTTAGATCAGGATACAAAATTATTTCCATCAAACTGAATCTGACTGGTATTGTAAAATAAAACTACAGCATCATTTGTTTACTTGATCTGACTCTGTTCATTACTCTAGGTTTCTTTTATCAAATTGTCTTCGCTATTTTATTGGCTTGAGTCATTGTTATTACAGGTCAGAGATCTTTGATGACTCTTACTTTTCGTGAATAAATACTACTACTACTGCATTTCGGGAACAGAGTAAGATAGCTCAAAATTCGTTATAACTCAGAAAAATCCATTACTTTTGCTGAATCTGACTTTTCTCCTCGTAACCTGGAACATCAATTCCATCTAATTTTTTTCTCTCCTGTGTCAGTATTATTCTTTATGTGATTAGTCTGCAAATGTATATAAACTACACTTGGCGTCAGACCGCTAACTCATTTGTCTGATCCTAAACTAAAGTCAAGAGGCAAAAATTAAAAAATCATTATTTATCAGCAAAGCACAAAATAAAATGTACTTAAGTAGAAGAAAGATACCAAACTGAATCATTCTAATAGCAAAGTTTAACGTGGAAAGGGATTTTCAAGGCGTACCGTTTACACTGTGATTACGAGTTCAATGTGTGTAAGATGTGTGTCATCCAAAACCGATAGGCCATCGCTTGATCAGCGACTGATGCCTTTTGTTCTTACAACGACAATTCATACGAGTTCTCATATTTGCTTTTTTATTTCGTGAATGACAAATGGAAAAGGTGAAGTGTATCTCGCACTATAAGATTTAACAGAAAGTGTATTTTCAGAGTTGTTTTGATTAAAGTGTGTATTCTGTTAACACTTGTTCATTCACAACGCTAAAGAGCTCCAGCAGCCTCTCTCAAACGACAGTCTTAAAGGGTATATAGCTATCGTAAATAGAACGCCGATTATAGTCGAACAAGATGAGCAACTTACGAAGATACAGGCTTATGAAGCTGAAAAATACTGTGTTTTCTTAGCAGGCGAGATCTTGAGCGTCTTATCGTTTGAGACTGAATTACGTGGTTAGTTAGTTGATTAAATTATTCTCCAAAAGCTTTTTTCGAGCGGATTTCAGATATATAGCATACGACGTTTGAGAGAATCAGCAGCTGAGACTAAAAAGCTAAAGGACCATGACATAAACTCTTCAAATTAGCGGTTATAGAAGTTAATATGATAGGTAAAAATTCTCTCACCTCTCTTCATTTTCGATCCACCTTTTATAAAACTATTAGCTGCCAAAGATCAGGCCGTTTGAATAGTAACCGTCAGAATAGTATGCAGGTCGAAATCCCGATAGTATTGAAGAACATGTAGTTCTTTTTCTACCGTACTGCTGCTGACTGAAATTCCATGTCACATACTGTTGTATCTTATCATACAATTACTACTTTCAAATGAGCATTACGCGCTCACCTATCCATATAACTGTGTTTTTTTTTCTTCTGTACTCTCTTCTCGTGGTTGTTCTCTTTTCCGTGTGATGGCACTGTATTTACAAACCTTTAGTTTTTTTGTGCTTGCCTTTATTACGAGATGTTTTCTTGAGCATAAAATCAACTTTCAAGTTCAAGCTCTGATAAATAGTAGATTCAGAAAAGCGTCATCCAAAGGAGACATTTAAAGGGTTACCACGACAAAAGCACTATCTTGTACTTGTCGATTTTGACTTAATCTAAACCTTCTCTCATCTGTTTTCCTTTTACAGGTTAATGATTGTTCTCATTCGTTGTCTATCAGTTTTAGTGTCTACTATAGGAGAGTAGAGTGTTTAAAGTTGATCGGTCGTGAAAGGACATTCTTTCTTCTTTTTTGTGTTTTATCTCAGCTATGAAACGTTCGCTAATATCACGTTATACAGGAGCCGATAGCCTTGAATAAGATCTACAAACACTATCTGGCTTTTTTTTTGGGCTATCGATGCACAGAGTAATATGCTATTTGACAGAAGTATCTGAATGTAATTGATATGACGTTTAGTATTCTACATTATGTATAATAGAGACCGAAACTAATAATAGAAAACGAATGAGAACGATTAGCCATCATCCGCATTAGTGGATAATCGAAATAAGTGGGGTAGTTTAGAGTAAAAAACGTTCCTCGTACATTTAGTTTAGTCAGTTTTCGCCCAAAGGATACGTATGGAAATTCTAAAATTCTAAATTCTTCTCTAGAAAAATTATCAGAGTTACATCATTCGATGCATGCAATTCAATGGATTTAACATGGATATCAAGTTAAATATTTTATTAAAAATGTTGTGCCGTAAAGAAAAAGAAAATTTATATTAAAAAACAGGGATTAGTAGACATAATATTGTTATTTTTTGGAAATATCATGTTTTTTCACAACTCTTATATCGATATACGATCCTGTATGGTGTACACTTATATTGGAAATCATTTTTATTTCAAGGAAGCAAAAGAAATTATATTGAAAACTGAAATGACAAAACGAGAGGCTGAATAGCCAGCCTATTTTTATTCTGAAATCTATCTTTCCAGTCCAATTATATGGATGCTATTCACAAACTTATTATTTTCAAAAGTATTCGATATCAATAAACCTTACAGAAATCTAAACTCTGTTTACAGAAAATGTTTATCATGAAACATTTCTTTTCTATTTAGTTCATTGTATGATGTTTCATTTTAGAGACGATATAAATCATTGATCATTGTGCATTATGTATTCATTTATCAAAACATTGTGATTTGCAGTATATTGCGAATCTGCACGATTATATCCAGCGGTACATATGTTTAATTTGTAGAATCAAAATAAGTAAACAAGGTTGTATTCAAGTTGATGATATATCATATTTATTAAGCAGTGATATTAATTTTTAAGCGTGGAGTGATATTCGCATCTTTGCAAATGAATACACACTCTATTTAAAGTAGGAAAATATTTAAGAACATAATTGCAGGAAGACATCATCAGATGTACACGATACAAAGGACTGAATTTTCTCAGTACTTTGAAAAGAGTAAATAATTGCATGTGTTCTGAAAAACGAATGACTTAAGGCTTCCAATTATTTCTCCATATCATTCTCGTAAAATGACTGACTTACAGTATTTTCTAACTTCTCTCTTTTGTAATAATCAAAGCTTTTAGTGATCTTTAGTTATTAATATCACTCTCTGTTGATTTTATAGTAATTATCTTTTCTTTTTGATCAGATGATATGTACAAAAGATGATTGTATATTCAGGTTCGTTTTCGATTTTTAGTATTTTTAGATTTGTTGATTTCTTTTTTGTTCTATGTTTGTATTAGCCCGTATTATGTCTATAATTCATTTGTAACACAATGTTTCATGTACTTATTTTATTTTTATCATTAGCAACTACTGCTAATGGTTTAATTGATGGTCTATACTGTGGAAAAGAGAGTTGCTATGATTTATTAAATGTGACACGCGATGCGAGTAGACAAGATATTGTCAAAGCTTATCGTCGTTTAGCTAAAAAATATCATCCCGATATGGCTAAAAATACACAAGATCGTGCAATATTTACGGAAAAGTTTCGTTCATTTGCTAATGCTTACGAAATATTGCGTGATGAAGAAACTCGTTTGGACTATGATAAAATGTTAGATAATCCACAAGATTATTATGGTCATTATTATCGATATTATCGACATCGTTATGCTGTAAGTAGAAACAGTAAAATATATAACTGATAACTGTATCTATGTATTTTATTTTGTTTCTATTTTTAGCCTAAAGTCGATGTACGAATTGTTATCGTTTTATTAATTAGTGTCATCAGTGTAATTCAATACTATGGTCAATATAGTAATTATCATTCGGCTATCGATTATTTCGTAACTGTGTGTGTTTGATTTTTTTGGTTTATGTTTTCTTTTAGTAATGTATGCTTCCTAACACATTTTAGGTGCCCAAATATCGAATACAAGCTCAAGAAATAGCTAAACAGGAAGGATTATTAAGTGATACATCGAGAAATCGTAAACGAGGGAATAAAACATTGAATAAACAAGAAGAAGAAACTATTTTAAAACAAATTGTTGAACAAAAACTAGATATCAAAGGAGGATATAGAAAACCAAGTAAGAAATACAGTTATCGATTAGCACAAGTCTTATTCAAGTGTATTATGAATTTTGTTTCAAAACGTATAAAACACAATTGGATTTATTCTCCTGTAGTAATGAGGGAAGGTCCCCAAGTGTGACCCTCAGTTTCGAATGGGATACACACCAGTTTGTAGAGCTTCACGAGTTGATTACGATGGCATAAAGCATTTTTCCCGATGCCTTTTGAAGACCCCGTTTTCTGGAAAACCAGTTTTTCAGAAACTATTAAAAATAATCAAAACCTTCCTTAATGGGGCATGATTGTAGCGCGCAAATTTCTGATTAAAATGAGACATCTTCCAATTCTACATGACATTTCTTTACAAAGTTATAGAATTTACATGAAAAGCCCTAAATGTTCATTGTCAGCTCAAAGCTACAGAAATAAGAAGAAATTAATTTAGGGCTTTTCTTGTAAATTCTATAATTTTGCAGAGAGAGATCGTGTAGAGCTGGGAGATGTCCCATTTTAATCAGAAATTTGCGCGCTACAATCATGCCCCATTAAGGAAGGTTTTGATTATTTTTAATAGTTTCT